CTTGCACAAGTAATTCACTAAATTTCTCTAATATAAGATTAATATTGTTTTAAGCAGAGATTGATGTGTTGACAATGTTTCAGCAAGTTGATCGGAGCAAGAGACTACACAAGCGAAGGTGCTAGGGACCTCCAAGGGCACGGTACTCACACAGCGTCCACAGCAGCTGGAAACGCAGTTGAGAACACTAGTTTCTATGGAATCGGTAATGGAACGGCTAGAGGCGGTGTTCCAGCCTCTAGAATCGCAGCTTACAAAGTCTGTTCCGAGAGGAATTGTACCTCGGAATCTATACTATCAGCGTTCGATGATGCGATAGCAGACGGTGTTGACCTCATCAGCATCTCTATCGCCCCAGGCTATCCCCACAAGTACGAAAAGGACGCAATTGCGATTGGGGCTTTTCACGCTAATGTCAAAGGGATTCTTACTGTGAACTCAGCCGGTAATTCGGGTCCGTTTCCTGCCACAATTGAGAGCGTAGCACCGTGGATGTTAACTGTTGCAGCCAGCACCACGAACCGTGGATTTTTCACCAAAGTTGTTTTGGGAAACGGCAAGACACTTGTCGTAAGTATTCAAGTAACACTCTTATTTCTTGTCATCATTGTAGCTCTGTCCTTTAAAATATCCTTTTGTCTTGACAGGGGAGATCAGTGAATGCTTTTGATCTGAAAGGAAAGAAGTATCCTCTTGTCTACGGAGCTAATTTCAACGAATCTCTTGTGCAAGGAAAGATCTTGGTTTCCACATTCCCAACTAGTTCAGAAGTAGCTGTTGGATCCATACTTAGAGACGGCTACCAATACTATGCTTTCATTAGCTCCAAACCCTTCTCTCTTCTACTACCAGACGACTTTGACTCTCTTGTCTCTTACATTAACTCCACAAGGTATCTAACTGTCTTCTCGCTATTATCTCTAGATTCTCCTTCTTTGTCCTGATACCTCTGTGTTTGTTTTCTCAGGTCCCCACAAGGATCTTTTCTTAAAACTGAGGCATTCTTTAATCAGACAGCTCCTACAGTTGCTTCCTTCTCTTCTCGCGGTCCAAACTTCGTCGCCGTTGATCTTCTTAAGGTATAATATTTTTTATGCTCTTGATTCTGTATGTTATTTTATTTCCTAGCCTGAGAGACAATGGTTGGTGGATGGATTGCAGCCAGATGTATCAGCACCAGGAGTGGAGATTCTCGCAGCCTATTCACCTTTGAGTTCACCATCTGAGGAAGGGAGCGATAAAAGACATGTAAAGTACTCTGTTTTGTCCGGAACCTCCATGGCTTGTCCACACGTTGCAGGCGTGGCTGCGTACATCAAGACTTTTCATCCTGAATGGTCGCCTTCCGTGATCCAATCTGCCATCATGACAACCGGTAAACAAAACACATAACCTCGTAACCTCTGTTTGCAAAACTCATTCTTATAAAGTCTCTTTATTTATCTTTGCAGCTTGGCCAATGAATGCTAATAGAACTGGCTTCGCATCAACCGATGTCCTTGCATCAACCGAGTTTGCTTCTGGAGCTGGACATGTCGACCCAATAGGCGCTCTTAATCCTGGACTTGTCTACAAACTGGACAAATCAGACCACATCGCCTTTCTCTGCGGCTTGAATTACACTTCGAAAACCCTTCAGCTCATCGCCGGTGAAGCCGTCACTTGCAGTGGAAAGACCTTACCAAGAAACCTCAACTATCCTTCAATGTCAGCTAAAATTTATGACTCTAATAACTCCTTCACCGTGACTTTCAAAAGAACCGTCACCAACCTCGGTACCCCCAACTCTACGTACAAATCAAAGATCGTCTTAAACCGCGGAGCTAAGCTCAATGTTAAGGTCTCGCCTAATGTTCTTTCTTTTAAAAGGGTGAACGAGAATCAGTCTTTCACGGTAACTGTTTCAGGCAACAATCTCAACCGAAAACTTCCTTCATCTGCAAATTTAATCTGGTCTGATGGAACACATAACGTGAGAAGTGTCATTGTTGTCTACATTGGTGATTACTCGTGAGGCATTATTAGTTTACCATATTCATCATTATCATTATATTGTCGCCGAATCGCCGATGTGTTTCTTTATTCTACATTTGTGTTTCAATTTTTTCTGATGATTGGTTTTTGTGTTTCTTAGATCACAGTTTCAGAGCTTTGCATTTACTTGAATTAAATTCATCCCTATATCCTAAAATAAATAAATTAATTGATTAGTTTAAGCTTTCTCTTTGACTCTTTCTAACGGATCATCTCAA